CCTTCTTTGATCGATCTCCTCCAAGATGGCCCCAAGAGCGCCCCGAAGGCTCCCAAGAGCGCCCCAAGAGCGCCCCAAGAGCGCCCCAAGAGGGCCCCAAGAGGCCCCAAGAGGCCCCCAAGATGCCCCCAAGAGGCTCCCAAGAGACCCCCAAGAGGCCCCAAGATGCTCCCAAGATGGCCCAAGACGGCTCCAAGAGCGAAAAGGCGAGAAAGCAAAAAACATTGATTTTCCTTAGGTTTTGGACGGATTTTGGCCTCTAGGAAGGCCCAAGAGGCGATTCGAGGCACTCTAGAGGGGCAACGCTAATAAGCAACCCCCCCTTCTTGATAGATCTCCTCCAAGATGGCCCCAAGAGCGCCCCGAAGGCTCCCAAGAGCGCCCCAAGAGCGCCCCAAGAGGGCCCCAAGAGGCCCCAAGAGGCCCCCAAGAGGCCTCCAAGAGGCCTCCAAGAGACTCCCAAAAGGACACAAGAAGCTCCCCGAGATACGCAAGAGGCCCCCGGGACCGCCAAGAGGCCCCAAAGACGGCCCAAGAGGCCCCCAAGCTCGCCATTGTCCTCCTCCTCCTCCTCTTTTTCTCCCTCCTCCCTCCTCCCCCTCCCCCTCCTCCTCCTCCTCCTTCTCCTCCTCCTCCTCCTCCTTCTCGTCCTCCTCGTCCTCGCCCTCCTCCATCTCCTCCTCCTCATCTTCCTCCTCCTCCTCCTCCTCTTCCTCCTCCCCCTCCTCCTCCTGCTCCTCCTCCTGCTCCTCGTCTTCCTCCTCCTACTCCGACGACGACGACTCCTCCTACATCCTCCCCCTCTTGGAACGTATGGCGGCTTAACCCGCTCTTTGTTCTTCTGCATGCTCCCCCGCTTCCCTCATCACCTCCACTCCTCTGGGGCTCATTTCTGGACGGGCTGGTGGGGATACGCGAAGCGTCTAGAATTTTTGTTTAGCGCGCGGCGCTGAGGCGAGACAGACATTTTGAAAACGGCCCGCTCTCAATCGGTGAACCTCTTGCAAATTTTACAACAAGTGCCCGCGGCGCGTAGGCGATACCAAAATTTTGCAAGCGGCCCGCCCTCAATCCGTGAACCTCTTGCGAGAATTTTGAAGCGAATGCGCGCGGCGCTCAGGCGAGACCAACATTTTAGAAACGGCCCACCCTCCATCCGTCAAGCTCTTGCAACGTTTTTATTAACGAACGTGCGCGGCGCAACGGCGAGAGCCAAATGTTGAAAACGGCTCGCCCTCAATCCGTATAACTCTTGCAACGTTTTTGTTTAAAGATCTGCGCGGCGCTAAGGCGAGAAACACATTTTGAAAGCAAGCCGTCCTCAATCCGCAAAGCTCGTACAAGGGGGGTCCGAGGGCATCCTCCTCCTCCTCCTCGCCGCACCCCCCCTCGACGACCTGTGCTGTTCCAGCAGGGGGGGTCCGAGGGCCTCCTCCTCCTCCTTCTCCTCCTCCTCCTCCGCCTCATCCTCATCCTCCCTCCCTCCTCCCTCCTTCCCTTAACCATCCTCCTCCTCCTCCTCGTGCTCGTCGTCGTCGTCCTCCTCCTCCTCGTCCCTCCTTCTCCTCCTCCTCCTCCTCCTCCTCCTCCTCCTCCTCTTCGCCGCACTCCCCCCCGACGACCTGTGCTGCTCCAACGGCGGCTCGCCCGCCCGGCCCACATCCGCTCGAGATCAGCCCCCGGACCCCTTCCCCAGGGTCCACCCTGGCCCTTTCTCGAACCAAGGGCTCCCAACTTCGCGCTTCGCGCTGCACGAAGCGCGAAGTGCGAATAATGTCGCGCTCTCGCCCCGCCTCCCAGGGTAGAAGAGGAGGATGAGGAATCGGAGCTGAACCGCGAGTCGCGAATAACTCCGCGCCCTCGAGGGCGCCCTTGCGAACTGGCCATCGCTCGGACGTTCATTCCCTGTGTTTTTGTCGGTTTCGTGCGTGGCTTGTTCGACACCTGATCAAGGATGCTCCTGGATGGTCCTCGCCGAAGGAGCCATGCGCACGTCCGAGCGATGCCAGGCGAAGCGGATGCCGCCAGTGGAGACCAGAAGCCTCCGGGAGGCCCAAGGAGGCGGCACCGTCTCGACTGGCCCTGAGATTGTTTCTCTGCTATTTCCTACGCAGAAGGCATCTGTACACCACCACCGTGCCAGGCCAGGGCCTTCCTGGCGCTGGCATGGTGTGTACGCCCTCCTGGCCGAAGCCGGGGAGAGTCTGTACACCATCCTGGGGCCCAGGATGGCCCTGGCCTGGCACGGTGGTGGTGTATAGATGCCTTCGTCGGACTTCCAGCAGTAACGATCGTTACCCGGGGGTGGGGGTGGGGGTGGGGGTGGGGAGCCCGGGCAACGGTAACGCTTGGGCGGGGTGGGGCGCGTCGGGGCGGGGGTGCGCTGCGATCGCCTCAATATGCGTGCGAGCACCAGCGTGTTGGGGGGGGGTCCAGGACCCCTCCCCGCACGGACCCAGGGAGTTCGGGAAGCCATAAGGTGCTGATACCGTTGCTCCCCGGACCTCTCCCCAGGTGCGTTCTGACCAGGAATTCGAGGCGACTCCGGCGGTGGCGACGAGAGCCTCCCAGGAGGCGCCAAAAAAGGCGCAAACAAGGGCAGGGTAGGGGTCCTGGGACCTCTTTTCCTTCTCTGAGGAGGAGGGGGGGTTCAAGGGCTTGGCTCGCGTGGCGGCCTTCACGCGCCAGGGGAGGAAACACAGTCGTCGCCCTCCTCCGATTCGGCCGAGGCGCACTGTTCTGCGCGCGCGCCCTCCGCGGGAGGGCGCGCCGAACTCCCACCAGGGACGCCCCGCCCCACGGGGCGCCCGGCCCCGCGGCGGGGGCGAGAAGTCCTGCGGCACGTCCGCGAGGTCCTCCCCGAGGCTCCCCGCGTCCACGCCGTCCTCGAGGGGCCGCGCAGGGCAGGTCTGCGCTGGGCCGGCTCGCGACATATAGGGTCGGATCGAGAGCGGAGCGAGTCGCCAGCGAATCGTCCCGAGCCAGGTCGGGATCGAATCGCCGCGTCCGGCGTCCGGCTGGCCCTGGCCGGTGCCGGTGACCAGAGCCGGACCGCATGGAAGTGGAATCGCGGCCCCTCCTCCTCCTCCTCCTCCTCCTCCCTCCTCCTCCTCCTCCTCCTCCTCCTCCTCCTCCTCCTCCTCCTCCTCCTCCTCCTCCTCCCTCCTCCTCTTCCTCCTCCTCCTCCTCCTCCTCCTCCTCCTCCTCCGCATGGAATCGAATCGCAGGTGGCCCTGGCCGGGGGGCAAGGAGCTCACGGGAGGTAACAAATGTTCGATGGGAGGGCGGCAGTGAGCTCACCGAAGGCCAACGAGTCGATGGAGTGGCGGCAGTGAGCTCCCCGAAGGCAGTGCTTTGTGCCGCCCTCCCGCTGCGAGCCAAACAAGAGCGACAGAGGAGGAGGAGGAGGAGGAGGAGGAGAAGGAGGAGGAGGAGAAGGAGGGGGAGGAAGAGGAGGGAACAGCAGGAGGAGGAGGAGGGGGAGGAAGAGGAGGGAACAGCAGGAGGAGGAGGAGGAGGACTACCAGGCGCGTTGCCTTCGCCATATTCTCAACACTCCTCACTCTTAGATCGCAAGGGCCTCCAACAAAAGCGTGCTACAGCAGGCGGGAGCGACACCATACAAGGATCAACTGCTCCAGCAGAACTTGCGTGGTTTGGGAAACGTGGCCGCAGCAGCGACGCGGACGTGCTCCGAATAGTGACCTTCCAACCAGGCAGCGTGAGACCGACCACTGATGCTCTTGCACGGAAGCATGGGCGCCCCAGGCATGAGTGGGTGAAGTGTTTGTATAAGATCCGACGCTGCTTCGAATATGATCCTGCACTTTCCCAGTGCGTCGCAGACAAACGACAGTGGTGTCGTGTTGTTGCAGAGTTCGTTGACGAAGACGAGTGATTAATTATGCGTTCGCTTGTGCTCAATTGCTCATCCCCTCCTCCCTCCTCCTCCTGCTCCTCCCCTTCCTCTGCTCGTGCGTACTCTGCTTCACAATCGTGATGCGCTCCGCTCTCCTACTTCATAGTCGTGGGGCGCTCCGTCTTTCTGCGTCATGGTCGCGATGCGGTTGGTTATCTCGCTTCCGACATGGTGCCAAATGAGCATTCGTCCGCCCGCGAGTCCTGCCGGAGGCAGGGCCCATCAGTAGCAGTACAGAGCAATGCGTTGTCTCGCCCAGGCGACCATGGGCATCTGGCTTCTTGACTTGCCTTGATCCCGTTGCAAGCGTGCCGTCGCATAACTGTTTGCCCTTAGTAAGCTCATTGCCGCCATCCCGTTGCAAGCATGCCGTCGCAGAAAGTTGGCCGAGAAGCGCTCTGACGGGAGCGCGAAACTTCCCTTGCACCACAAAAATGACGCAACTCTCCCTCCAGTCATCTAGATGCTCAGGGGGGGGAATCATCAACCTGTAATTGGCGATGCATCGCCGGTAGATCGGCGACATGCCCCCGATAGGGCTACCCGTACGCTGCTGGGCAGGCTTGGGGTATCAGGTACCCACCGGTGATGAAGGGGCGATTGGGGGATCGATGCGCCCCTCCCACCTGAGCCTATCCTTCCCCCCCGGTTTGTTTTCGGGTCATAACTCGGCGTCTTGGCGGTCGTTCGGGACGATCAGGGCGGCCCTGGAACACCCTTGGCGAGGCGCAGCTGCCAGAACGCGTCCCGAGGCAGCTCCAGGAACAGACGAAGACGCCCGAGAACCTCGAAAGCCTCGAAGCTCGAGGAGTCGGCGCGAGAGTGTCCTGGCCCCCGCCTGACGTTGCCCCCCAGTCCTCCAGGGTCCAGAGCATGGTCCACGACCGCGGAGGCTTCCTCGGCGTGGGCCAGCTCGCCCTGCCCGAGGTGGCGACGCGGGGGGGACGCCCATCTGGTTCCCCGGAATGGGTACGGAGAACATTGGGACAATGCCCAACAACATATTTTTTAAGCGCAATATTTTGGAGAGGGGGGAAAGGGAAGGTCAGGGAATTCGCAAAGCATCACATCTCTCCAGCCGACTGAATCGCACGCAGCCACACACAGCCAGCCAGGCCCGACTATCAGTGGCCGCCGTCGGGCAGGCGCCCTTCTATCTCAAATGGACACAGGCCGCGGCGCCGCGGACAGCGAGTCCTGCTCAAAATGAAGAGGAAAAGCTGCTGGGCATTGTACCCATTTCGGGAGCGGCCAAGAGGGGGGTGTCCCAAGAGGGGGGGGGGGGGGGGGGGCGAATCATGACCGGCGGCACGTGCGCGGCCCAGCGGGGGGGGCCAGGGACGCAATGCAACGAGACGAGGCGCCATGAAATCTGGGGAAATATCACCGGCCTCCGCAACGATATCCAGCCCCCCCTAGTCATCATAATACAGGGCTGGGATCGGGATAAATCGCTCCAGAGCGTTCCGGAGCGCTCTCAGAGCGTTCTGGAACGCTCTGGAGCGGCCGCGGCGCCCAGTACATCCTCCAAACCCGCCGATTCTCAGAGATTTCGAGCTACCCCGATCCGACTCTGTCCCGATCTTCGCGTCGTTTTACATCACCCCCCTCTCTTCCGCCCCCGGCCATTCCCTCCGTACCCATTTCGTCCGTGCCGCCCGGGCCGAGCCGACTCGGCCGGGGCTCTGCTGCCCCGAGGCCGTGGCGCAGCGACTCTCACGGCGGGCGGTGCTTGCTGCCCTGCCTCGGGCCCTGGGGACCCTCACGGGTCGACCGGGCTCGAAGAATGGCCGCAGCAGGATGGGGTCTGGGGCTCGGACCGTGACTTGTTGCGATGTTCGCGGCGTAGCATCTCTGGGTGTGCAGAGATCGAAAGGGCCTGCGAAGCACGGTCAGGGCGTTGGATTAGGAGCCATAGGGCTCAGTTGTTCCAACCTGATGCTTCCCCTTCGGGGAGAGGTTTGCCTCTCCCCCTGCCCCGTCTCCCTGGGTCTGGAGGAGCGGGGGGTCGCGAGCGGTTAGAGCGTCCAGGATGATCCGAGATGGCCCCAGGAAGGCCCCAGATAGCCCAAGATGGCCTCCAAGGTGGCACAAGATAGCCAAAGGTGGCTCATGATAGTTTCCAACATGCCTCCAAGAGGCGCCATAACCGTCTCAAGACGGCTCCAAATGGCCACGGAGTCGCCCAAAGACCCCCCCGAGAGGCCCAAGTCCTTCCAAAGTCTAAGGAAATGAATGTTGTTTGTCTTCTCGTCTTTCCGCTTCCGATTGGCTTCTGAGGCCTCAGGATGGCTCCAAGATGGTCCAGGAGAGCCCCAAGCGGACCCAAGAGGGGCCCAATAGGGCCATAATAGCGCCCAAAGAGAGCCACAAAGTCGTCCAAAATGACTGCAAGAGGCTCCCCGAAATACCGAATTTCAGGACTGTTGGCCTCACTACGCCCCTTCTCCAGACAGCTCCCGCTGGCATCCCTGCTGGATGGAATCGGGGGGAAGCGCGAGGCGTTCAGAGTCTGTTCCCTGGTAAACGGTCTCGCTGGGAAAGCGTCCATCTGGCGCCTGCGCAGCGCCGATGACCGTGCACCGCTGGACCACGGACCACGGGCCACGGGCCCCGGGACCGTGCACCGTGCGCTCGGGCCACGGACCACGGCGGAGGAGGAGGAGGAGGAGGAGGAGGAGGAGGAGGAGAAGGAGGAGGAGGACGAGGAGGACGAGGAGGACGAGGAGGACGAGGAGGAGGAGGAAGAGGAGGAAGAGGAGGAAGAAGGAGGAGGAGGAGGAGGAAGGCGGAGAAGGAGGTGAATGAGGGGGAGGGGGAGGGAGGAGGAGGAGGAGGAGGAGGAGGAGGAGAGGGCGGAGGAGGAGGAGGAGGAGGAGGAGGAGGAGGAAGAGGAGGAGAAGAGGAGGAGGAGGAGGAGGAGGAGGCGGAGGAGGAGGAGGAGGAGGCCCTGGGCCCTGGGCCACGGGCCTCGGCTGCAAGGGCCCCTGGGCAGCCCGCGACCACCGGCCGCGGAACGCGTCGGCCGCAGACCCTCCGGGGGCCACGCACCACGGCGGCGGGCAGCAGGCCCACGGGCCACGCGCACCCGCGCCACTGCCCCGCGGGGCCGCGCAGGCCCACGGAGAGCCACCGCGGGCCGCCCCGGAACCACTGGCCACTGCACCACGGGAGGCCTTCCCGAGGGCGTCCGAGCAGCTGGCGTCGGAGGATCCCGCCGACGCATCGGCGACGTCGGCGACGTCGGCGATACGTCGGCGCCGTCGGAGTCGATGCATCGGTGCGTCGGCGATGCGTCGGCGATACGTCGGAGTGGAGGACGTCGGGCTCCACGTCGAGCTGCATCCTCGATGCATCGGCGATGCGGCGCGATCCACCGACCCCATCTACTCGGACCCCATCTGGGATGCCTAGAGCCTCGAAGTCTCCGGCCGCTGCACCATTGCGCTGCGGTCAACAACTGGGGAACTGCGACAGCCGTAGAGAACAGAACATCCACCCTCATAACAAGCACTCCGACGAGCGAAGCCGTTTAGCAAACGCACCCAAAAGAAAGGAATCGAACAGGGCAGGGCTGTTTA